TTACAATTTCCCTCCAAACGCAGCAACATTTCGAGATCTAGTAAGCAAGGGTCTTCATGTATTCCCTTGAGATTACTGTGTTCAAACACAGCAACTTCATGTATGAATACAGGGCTTACAGCAGACAGTCCAGATGCCATCCAAAGTATGCCAAAAATTCCGGTGTAAAACTGAACATCCATTCATATGCTCTTGTGCATAAATACAAGGGAAGAAATAAGGAGAAATATTTGAATGATTCACATTCCAGAATACAAACACTAGAAATAGGTCTAGATATTCCACATGAGGTTTCCAGAAGTTAGAAAAATAAAGGAAAAAAACAAAAACAGCTATTTCCATCCAGGCAGCTTTAAGGTTTTTCATATTAAATTTTGAATCCTAAAATTCAAAGAGATCAGAGACTCCTGAATAGAAACCCAAACCAAAATGCCAACTACTTCAAATACACTTGGAGTTTTCTATTTCCAGTAACTTGCTGTATTTTTTGTCTGCTAACAGTACTTGGGCTTACCTGGTTTAACCAAAAGCATGAACAGAAGCGTACGTTCTGCTTCCAAACAGTATTAATCACCTACCAAGTAATAATCCATCTCAAATACTGTCATTACCAATTTTCCATCCTATATGCATCAGGGAGATTTAAGGCTCCAGGCTGCAGATCCAGTATGAGGGAAATTTGGAAGTGGTAGAAAAAGACATCATAACTGCTGGAAGAGTCCACTGGTAAGAATGAAACAATAGGATTTCACCATGAAACGGATTAATCTGGAGCACAAATCAGAAAAGTTGCTCTGTGTTCCTTTAGTCAGTGGTAGGATTCTGACTCTCACCTGTAGGAATGGGTAAGTAGAAGAGAAAACTACTTTTCAGATCAGGCTTTATGAGACAGTAATGAAGATTGCCTTAGAAACTCAAAATAAAGAGAACTTGTGTAGTTCATATTTTAAATTCCAGGAATTTTCTCTCTTCTCATTTCTGCAATAAGAAAATTAAGTATAATCAATCTTGCACAATGCTGTAAGAGCTTGAATTTCCTTTTACCCGCTTACAATTCACGCTGAAGATGTGTAGGTCTCATCAGAAACGGCCATCTCTGTTCCTCAAGCACTTTATCTCAAGGTACGTAGTTGTGTTGGCACAGTTTGATCTCAGACTCTCTGTGGATCTCAAGTGCAGTATTGCAACCTTGATTCCCAGGCGTAGTGTGGGAAAAAATAAATAACAAAGAGAAGCATAATAAAAAGGAACAACATACCCATCAGCATTTGACTTCCTGAGGCCAGCAGACCACGTGAACATTCCCCACACCAAACTCTCAGTACTGCTTCTCCTGTCCAGGCCATGCACACCGAGTTACAACAGTCCAAGAGAGTTCCTGGGTTGCAGTTGAATTAATTCACAGTTAACTAGCTGGATGGCTTGTTAAGAACTTGAAAAAACAGAAGTTCAATTTGTTTCCATCCATTTGTTTCCAACCATGTTTTCTTCAAGTCCTGAGGCTTGTCCAGTGTTTTCCATAATTACATGGCAGTAACATTAATAATGAAATTGCACCATCTGCTATAGGAAATTGTGTCCAAAGGGCATGAAACAACTCATGATATCCGCATTAATTAAGTGGATTTATATCAGGCAAAGACCTTTCTTCTTCTGTTAACGACAAAGTTGTTGAGGTGGCAACAAGCTGTCCCACAGGCCAAATTACTTCGTTCCTTTGAAATCTCAGAGTGTTCCAGTAACGTTGAGATCTCCAATTGGGAAAAACAGATTTGAGCTCAAGAGGTCTTGTTCTACTTTAAAAGCACGGTAATGAATGAGACTATTTCTGCAGGAAGCATACTTTCCAGTGTGACTTACAGATCGCCATCCTTCGTAACTTTTAACTATTCAAAGCAACTGGACTGAATGAGGGATTTTTGGCAGGTAGGCTAATCATTTTAGTGTAAAAATACATTTTTTTTTTCATTTCAATCCTTTCATAAAAAAACCACAATTGGAATGATACTCAGGATCTAAACGGTATCTAAATGGCTGTTCAGCAATTAAAGTGCTTCAGAAAATAGTTAGGGCGGTGCCTTAAAAGCAGACAATAACAGCAATGTAATGTTTACAGACAGACAGGCAAGGAACACAGTTAATGGACAAGGATCATACAGATGACTGAAGCAAGTCAAAAAATACCAAATCCAATCTGACAAGTGAGAAGTGAAAAATCTAACATACCAAATGCAAACTGTTCTCCTGTAAAGACAGAAAACTAACAATACAAGGTAAGTTGTTCATCTATGTTGACGTAAATGTTTAAGAAAAAGCAAACCATGACATTTCCAGGTGATGGAATATTATATGCTGCATTTTTAATCTAGCATACCTTAGTCAGGCCGTAAAGCTCAATGAGCAATTGTAGAGTAAAACACACATGACAACTGAAGATGACAACTACGCTCTGTTCATGTATCCACACATTGTCTTAGGTTACATGTTTCCTTGCAAAAAGCACATGTACTTCTTACATGAGGTAGGTAGTTTCAGTATTCTTAACAAAGCAGAAAATCTTATGAAAAATGAGGTGCCATTAAAATCGCAATTCACAGAAAATACTCTTAACAGTCAAATTTGCCCAAGAGGTAGCAGCAGTTCCATTCTGCAGCAGCTGATGTTTTGTTTTTTTTTTTCAGGGTTGTGTTTTCAAATGTGATGCACTACACAGTAACAGTCCAATTTAGAGTTAACGTAATTGCGTGCATAGAAAAAGATGGATCTGAAAGTGCTGGATGCATATTTTCCTATTTAGCCACTTATCAACATGAACATTTTTTCTGTTCATTGCTGTGACAGATTCTAGAGCCAATATCGTGAGCAGACGAGTTAAGAACTAAATCAGGATCAAGCCTTACTGGGTTCTATAGCAAAAGATTCTCCAGACAAAACAGAAATCACTCATCACCAGACTCTGACTATAAGCCAAGCATTGGACTACCCAGCCACTCTCAGTTCTGTGCCAGCAGCAAGGATGAATTTCTCATTTTTGCTTGATTTATTCACTCAATGAAGGACTAAGGTATGAGGAATCTGTTACACGCTGTAGCTCTGGCAAAATGTTATTTTCTTTGAGAGCCACTTGCCATCAAGCAGACGAAAACTAACCTGCAAAACTTTCAAACCAATTGAAACAGATGGCAGTATCACTGAAATGGAAAAGGTGGAACTTTAGGGAGCCAGAAAAAAAGAACAACCATCACTAGCACTCCCAAGGTGTTTTCATAATTGAAGTTTTGCCCTAAATTTGAAGGCTGATACATTTTCTTTCTCTTATTAGAATTAAGTATGACCAGGTGCATTTTCTGTCCATCTCTTTAACTCTGCATTAACCACACAATAAACTTGATGTAACCTGACTGTTAGCTGCTGAAAAAGTTTTCAAAATTGTTAATAGTAGTACACAATAAGATCAGTTCTGTCACATGCTATTCCTTTGCATGCTCCAGAAATATTATTTAGCCTGGAAAGGTAGTGTTAGAAAAGGTCCTGGTTTAGTTTTTTTTCACCAGAAAAACAGACAAAACAATTAACAAGTCAAGAAACTTCTTAAAAGTCAAGAAACAGCATCAACTCTTAGCAGTGGTATGTGTGCCACAAGAACTCCAGTTCTCTTAGGGACGACTTATGGTAAACTGAAAGCCATTTTACACATACCTGTGAGCAGCTTCTCTGAAGTGAAGCTTGCCTGATTTCCACAACAATATACAAGGTCTTATTTCTTAACTATTATTTTTCCTTTGTGAACAACTCTCAGCCAGAATTCAAAGATCACTTGGCAACATTTAAAAGAGAAAGTACATGTGCTACACAATAGCATGCATACACAGCAAATGCGTATTCATTACCTTCAACTTTAAAAACATTGCATTCAGGGAGCTTGGTTTTCTTGTATTAAACACATCCAGGGTATAACACAAGTTCATATATTCACATATTTCCAGAGAGCTTTCAATCATGCACCACAGACAAAGATGGAAAACCAAAAAACCGAGCCATTAGAATGGCAAACAAACCCATCCATTAGCACCATTAGCTCTCGTCAACAACATAAACCATAACCACATCAGAACCAGCTCATTTCCCAACCTAGGAGAAAACCACAATGTAATCACTCAGCAGAGCAACAAAGAGTAGCAGAGAAGGAAATTCAGGACTTCATTTGCTTCCCTCAGAAATATCAGGAGAAAAATTTCAGTTCACCACTAAAACAATTATTTTAAGATTTAAACACCTTGCCTGGTCACAACATTGTCAACACAAGGTATTTGCTTCAAAACCTGAGAGGACAAAAAAGTTTTCACCGGCAAACCTGTGATACTGTGCAGAAATAGTATGTCAGCATCTATGAAGATTTTGCACCACTTTTTATAGTGTGGACTATTATTTTTCAGCAAGTTCAACGTACTTATACAGGAATACATGGGTATAACTTCTGGTGTCTGTTGCTTCTTTTTATGATGTTTCTCTACAAGACAGTAGACTTACAAATGGAATGAAATGTCCTGAAATGTCAACCAGTGTTGACTAAAAGACATAGTAAGACCAAAATGAATTTTCTATGCTGCCCTCCAAAGAATGCTACAGTTGAATGCCATAGCTTTCAAGTTCAGCATTAAAGAACCATTTTTCTTGCATTACTACCCTGAGTATTTCAGAGGCATCCAAAAAAATTTATACTCACGTAGTAATGGAAATTTGACATAACTGAGAAACTAGGATCCAGAAAATGATCATTTCTGCTCTTCCAGAAGAAAGAGAATGATAATGGCTCCTAAAGGCCAGCAAAACCTGGGGCCTTAATGGAGCTGTCTCTGCGAGGAAGAGCAGGTGATAAACCTAGAAGACAGGACACATTCCAGAGTTATGAGCACCTCTTCCAGGTAAGGATGGCTCTGAGCACTGTCAATATGTGAACACACAGACCACAATTAAAATGTGAAACAAAAACCATGCTATATGGTCCACCAAGAACACAGAGTTTATAGTGAAATTTATTGTTCTGCTTCCTAGTACAATAAGCTACAAGGTACATACAGTATAAAACGAGAACGGCCACAAAGCAAAGGTGATAAACATTCTGTGACAGTACAGTGGAGGTAACATCTGTCTAATCCTTCCACTTTATCCCACAAACAGCAGCTAAAACTACTGGCCCTCCCCTTTCCCCCCTCCCCCCCTTCAAAAATATTAAAAAGTAAACTGTCTCTCTCACTTAGGAGCAGCGGGATTTTTTTTTTTTTTGAGGGCACTGGTTATTTGCCAATATCTCAAAAAATTGCTGAAACTAAAATACCAAAAGAAAAACTGTGAAGGTGGGAGTGACATGACCCATGCAAGATGCTCATGACACCTTGGTTCACATCTCCTCAGAGCAAATGGCCTGTAAAGAAAGGAAAAGTTTGTTACATCATGTAAAACAGCAGCTAAAATGGTCAGAGTTAAGATAAAAGTAAGCAAAATCTGAACTAGACAGGCCAAAGCATACAGCTAGGCTATTCTTATAATGAAAACACTTTTCCTTTTAGCAGGGCTTGGAAACTCTGATAGCTGACAAGTTTTCTCCTTTAATTTTTAGATGCTGTACAGGGGAACGCACACTGAAAAGTGCACAACTGACAGCTACTATACAGGGTTCCAAATCAAATAATCTTGTCTGGGAGAACTCTAACAGAGGCAAGACCTGCAACCCTCTAAAAAACCCAACACCCAACCCTAAAAAAAACCAACAAACTAAAATAACCAAACAAATAAAACAATACCAAGGCCATAAACATGCAAAACCACCGTATACTTACCTTAAAGGCACAAAATTCCCATTAACCACTTTTTCATATATACTTGGTACGGTTGAGGGCTCTCTCAGCAAGATGACCACTTTCATCTGTTATCTTCTCCCAATCTGTTTGTCCAACAACAAAACCAATGGCCCTTTTCCTGTCTGCATCTTTTTTTTCTTCTAGATCTGCCCACCGCACCTATGGAGAACATACTATCAGTAGGACAATCCCTCATGAACTCCTGAGACACATTTAAGCTTCCCACTGCAGATGAGAGTATAAGAATTCTGATTTGTACTCATTTTAATTCTAGCAGGTAATTATTTTGTTCTCTGACAAGTAAAGATAGAAATGGCACCGGTTACGTTATTTTTAATTGAATATCCTGAATGTTCAATGAAGTAGAAAAAAAGGTACGTGTGATTAACATTTTCCATTTCAATGCCATAGTGCTGAGAGATGAAGAATCACTACAGTTACTTTCCTACGCAAAGCAATGCTTCCTTCCCTTTCCTCTATGGCTCTTCACTGTCATGCAGATCACTTGCACTCATCCTGTTCAAACACACACAGTCACTTCCTCGCCCACAAACCCAGACACGATGTGGGGGTACGGGGAGGGGAGTGTAACTGCGGGGAGGGAGGAAGGTGATGATGAATGGCCACCGTCCAGGAACTCAACAGCAACACACAACTGCAGGACAAGAAAAACAGTAAGTGAAGGAGCCCTGACATCCTGTTGATCAGTCCCATTCAGACTGATCTGTTACTTTTGGACGTACCCATATCACCTTTCTGCCAGCACCCCCCTAATTCCACATTCTATCTGAACTTCCTCAGATATTCATACTGATATGCAATGCCTGATTTCTTCCACCATCACATCCCCTGAAAATGTCTTAGTAACTCCCTTTCTCTCACACACTGTTCAGTACCACCTGTGTTGTCTACTCGACTTTACAAAGCAAACCATCAAACCTAAACACGGACTGTCAACTCAAACTACTTTTTAGGGGCAAAATTGAATGAATTGCATTGCTGATCAACTCATTCACTAAAAAATAAGTATGAAAAATAACTTGGCTGCAAAATCAACTGTAGTCTGTAGAAGACCCACAGTTTCTTATCAGCTTTAGTGCAGAGCTAGCTGTAACAGGTATTTCTAGATTTGTATACATATACACACATCATTCTCCCCTCCCTCCCTGGTTCCTTACATTTTCCTTGAAGCTAACATAACAAGCTCCACATACTTTTAACCTCATGTTTTGTTTTAAACGGATTAATATACAATATAATAAACAGATTAATAAACAATAACATATATTCACAGTGGATAGAGATATAAATCCAGACAGTTGAGTATCTGCTTGAGTACAAAGCTTACAGCAGAAGCAATGAGTTAGAAAGCATGTCTGAGTATCTTTATCTGGTAGTAAATATGTTTCTTCACATATTGCATTGTTTGCACAGACGCAAATGATGTTCCTTTTTTTGTTTTTCTTTCATCTTTAAATAAAGGCTTATGGGACATATAGAAAAGCAAACTACAAAAAATTAGTCAGTAGTTATTAACATTGGCTACTCTCTGAATGTAAGCTTGTATATTCTTTTCCACCATAGTGGTATTTGTGATAATCCTAACATTTAAGAATACAGAAGAATACCAATGTGTTATCCACGTCAAATGGTAAATTTTAGCATGTTGTATCAGTCAGATTTGAGGATGCAATTCTGAAAGCAAAGGCTTGTCTGTTTTGGAAAAAATAAGCACCCTACCTATTACCTCTTTCATCTTCCTCTATGATTTTCTTTTTTCAGTGGTATTTGAAAAGCAGTTCATGCTCAGAACAGAAGTACACATAGAGTGGTTGAAGCCATCTTCTTAATCACCCTCTCCCAAGCTATATGCAAGGTATATGCAGGAGATAACTTCAAGGCTTTACTGATAATAGACCTACATAATTGATGTTTTCCTCAGCTGAATCTTTTTGAAAGTTAAGAACAGTGAATTGTTTCTCTGCCTACTTATTATAAAACCTAACAAAAAATTAGTTTAATAAAGTCACCATCATCTTGTCTTAGAACATACACTGTATATCACACCATTTCATCACACAATGTAAAGCCTAAAAAAAAGACTCCACATGTTCCTCTGAAACAAAGTGCATCTTCTTCCTCAGCACGAACTGGGACACGACTCCATTCTCAATCTCAAAAGCCATGCCATGCGTAGTTAACTTTCATTATCTACAACTCCTCACTTCATTATACATGATCTGTTTACCTCTGGAAGACTCTATTCTCCTACAGAATCTAATGGAAAATAAAAAGCGAATCAGTGAAATCCCCGTATTCGTATACGCTGACTGACTTGATACAAACTCTTCATCACAGAAACCTTTCAGTGGTCATCTACAGAAAGTCATTTGAAAGTTTATTACCCTTTTCTTTCCAGGTTCAGAAGCACGAGTATCATAGTCATCTGGAAGCTGTAGATAATCTTCCATTCTGCTGGCAATGGCTTCCCAGTCACGTTTCCTTTTAGTGCCAGTCCGCAAACCATCCAGCTTGTCTGAGAACAAACACAGAGCCTCAGAGTTAAAGGAGATTTTTTTTTCCTATTATTCACACAAACAAGATGTGAGAGGAAATATTTTCAAAAGAATGATCAGCAGAACTTGCACATCCAGATTATCTTGATAGGCAGTATGATGAGAGTTGAAATAAACTAGAAGACTCAGCACCATTTTCAAGTTTTATTGATCTTTCACATTAACTGTGTGGCAAGAACACTCAGTCTTGTTATTTGTACGAGGGGAAACAGCTTGCTTTTCTGGATGCTCATACCATATAGAGTCTGTACTTACAAGTAGGATACAGCCACCATAGCTCTTTAAGGAACTACAGATCCACCTGTTCTATATTAGAACACAAGACCAAAGCTGTAGCATCTCTCCCAGATTTGGGGTTTAATACTATGTCAATCATTACACACATGCAATATCACGGAATAAGTGACGATCATATAATTGTACGCATCGAAAACAAGTTTTTGAGGTTCTGTTTCTGCTGAACAAAACCGTCCCCTGAAACCCTGACCTCCCATTTTTCTTCACCCTGCAAGGAAGAACCACCCCAAAAATTCCTCCAGGACTGGAAAAAAATTTTCAGATTTTTTTGTTTCATGATGCAAGAAGTCAGTCACAAATATTTGAGAAGTATGCTTGTCCAACAGCCATCATTTTCTTCTTTTTCTTATTGAACAAATAAATGCATGAAGAGAAACAGTTCCACTCCTAGGTTCTAAAATTTTGTTCCTCTTTAGACACTTATTTTCAGTGAAAAAATAACACCTTCTTGAAATTATGTGGTCAATTGCTTTTGGAAAGGAGATGAAGGAATTTCTCATTTTAAGATTATGAACAATAAGACATGAAAATGAAAACAGGCTTCACAAGTTGAAGTAAATCCTAGTACTAATTATGTTGCTGTACGCTATCATTTCATAAGCCAAAAACTAGGCATATGCAGAAGGAACACTAAGCTTGGTAGTTACGTTCTGTGAGCCATTTCCAGTGATGTTAGTAACCGTGCTTCAAAAGTCACCACTGTAATTAAATCTACCCACCAAAGGTCTCTGAAATAAACCAAGTACAAAGCAACATATTTTCTGGAGAGCAGAAGAGGATGTTCAAGAGTATGCATTTAAAGATCAGTTCAGAGATGATTTTTTTTTTTTTTTTTTACTTAACATTGGAGAGAGAAGAGCAACAACAGAGAGGATGTGAGGCAATGGTGATGTAGACATGATACTAAAGTTCAGTGCCATAACCTGGTGAAGTAATTTCTCTCTCATACAACTCTAAAGTTTTTAGGAATCCACTTCTGTCCCATTTCTCTAGAACAGATACAGAACTTCTTCCAAGAAAATATTTTAATCCCTCTCTGAAAACAAAACAGAAAAGCAAAAGAAAAAACAAAAACAAAACCCAAACCAAGCAAATCAAAAAACAACACTTCAGAAAATTGTGTGCAGAATATTTGTATCTGTTTCATGATATCTTGTGACATGATTCATTTAAAGTTCTTCTTTGCTCTAAGTTAAATCTGCCAAGTTTGAAGCTCAATCTCCACAGAAAGCTGGTACTCCCTCTAGAAGACAAAATTAATTTACAAAATATTCCTCTGTTACTCCAGCACACGCCATACTCACACTATTCCTCAGTATTACTTTCAGATCGATCAGTGTAAAACATTCACGGAGTAAGGGTTATGAGAAAAAGAAGAGGTATTTGAAGGGATAGCAACAAACAGATTGAGGAGCATTTAGGAACATAAAGAACTGGAAGTTCAGGAGCTCTGCTGACAGTTATGCATAACACAGGCGTATTCCTGTTGGAAGGCAACCTGCTGTGATGCAAGCAGATCTTATTTCCAGCGTCCCACTCCCTGCTGCACACAGACCAACTGAACACAGTCCCAAGAAATGTGTAACTCATAACCAGGGGAGCTCAGGAGGCATTCAGCCTATCAGTTCCCCTCCGTCCCTTTTTGTTAGTGCTATACAGAATTTATTTTAAAATGTTTTCTCCTTCCATTTTTGAAGTTGGATTGCCTTCCTTTCCAGAGAGATCTGCTTCCACCCATACTATCATGGTTCACATGCAGCAGACACACTCTAAGGAAATGTCAAAAGCCTACCACAAAATATATACATATGTGTTTTTTCCTGAAAACAAGACAAGGTGTCATTTTGTAACAACAGTGCTTGTGAATATTTATGGCAGATGATGATTACTGAGTGTTAAACTATCAAACAAATCACCATTTCAATTTTAAAAGCAATGAAACATCAGCATTTTTTAAAATCTGTAGAATGAAAAACTCACCTTTAGAATTTTAATAATAGCTTCTGAAAGTAAATTACTTACTTTGCTCAAACTAAATCAATCGACTACTTTTTTTTGTTTGTTTGTTTGCCTTTCTTGTACAAAAGCTACAAAGATTTAAGTTAAATGTTATTTGCATTCCAGAGCAAATTTTACAGTGATATCAGAACTTCAGCTATGGCATTTCTCCTTTAGTAGAAGTTTGTCCAACTCACCGCTAAGCCACACTTTGAAACACAGTACCATACTAAACACTTAACACAGTCAAATTTTAAGAACATTAGTCCATTTCTGTAAGTTTAAGAGCTTGAGTGTACAATGCACTGAGACAGACTGAAACAGTAGTGACCAGATTTTAGAATAAAAATGTGGCTGTGCAGTCACAACACATAAGGAAACGCTGTACCAGCATACATAGTCAGAGGAATGCATCAACCCTGCCAAAGTAAATTTGAACTAAAGCAAGTGCTCTGGGGCAAACAGCATGGGGACTGGCACAAGTCAGCACTGCAGCTAGAAGAGCTCATGTTTTTCAGACCTTTTCTAAGGCTTTCTGCGATTAGTAAGATCTCGTGTCCTCCTGTAACAATATCTATTCAGAACGAAAACCAAAAGAAAACCAAAAACAAAAGAGGACTTACAGAATTGTTTTCGGATTCTGCACTTAGACAACCTCTGCAAGTGCATGCCCGCTGGGACTCATGCAATAAACCTAATGGGCAGGCCAGCTCCCAGGAAACAACCCAACTTGGGAATGACAAGTGCATACCACAGTTTACATGCCTTTCAGGAAATAATTCTGATATGTCATCTACTGAAATGGGCCTGTGAATAACCAAACAAGATCTTACTGTGAATTAAATATAATTATTACTCAGACTGCAAGTGCTTATAAAGCATACCCTGAGCTAAAAGCTGCCTGCCCTCACAAAGTAGTTTTTCAAAAAGAAACAAACAAAACAGCATTTGTTACGTAGGAATGCCAGGCTTTTTATAACATACGTTCTGTCAGAATTTACTTTTAATCCGTAGTTCTCTATATTTATAAATATGAATCCAGAGGAATTCAGTAGTTAGGAAAGTAAAATTATGAATACAGATTTAATAGAAAGACCTTCTCAGCACCTGTGACTTACAGTCTGCTAAGATCCAGGTTGTTAGCTGATTGGTATTATTCCAACAGTCTTGCAAGTAATTTATGTTAGAGTAAAATTGACTCTGCTGCTCTCTCCCAGTTTGACGTTTATGTTAACTGGAGACCATACAAAAACCCTCTTGTGTTTTCTATTATGAATTTTCCACATGGAAAGAAAGTCAGCAAAATTCTGTCGTTAGCAGTATTTGATCATGAATGAGGTAGATTTTGACAGCTATCTGTAGATTTCTGCTGTAGCCACAGTCCCCACATTACTAGAAACTACCCATAAAAACTTTTAGAACACACTCTGGACTCCTGCCATATTTATAAAAGGCATGGGATGACTTGAAATTTCTCTCTATGCAGCACAACACATCTGTTCCTACTTAGTATTTAAAGAAGAGTATATATTATTTGGAATAACACACAACGCCATCAGAGCCTTGCGTTCTTCAACAAGGCAGAGTTGGAAAAAATCATTACAAATTTAAGAAATAATCTTAAGATATGAAAAGCAATTAACTTGTATACCAAGAATGCAGAAAAATCTTTGTCTTGAACTGCTAAGCTGTTCGACATGCTGCAAGCATTGAATATGAATCTCCTCCAGTTTTACTGCAGGTGCCACAAAGCCAATATATTCCACAAATACTTAAATGACTTAAAAGAGAGCACAGCAGCAGAAGACATGGTGCAGCTAAGCAGTTAGCAGCAAGAGATGAAAATTTGCTTTATGTAAGCCAGAATTTCTGATGCTGTTTCTGTTGTACAAATGTTATTTTGGTTATTGGAAAGTAATCATACACAGGGCTGTACCACATGCAGAAGATCTCAAAAAATGCTAAGACATACTGTATCCCATTCAGGTATTTATTACTTCTCAAAGATGTGATAGAAAATGGTAGTTTTACGCACTTTCCATTCATAAAATCTTGGCTTAGTACCATTACTGTTCACTAGGGAAAAAAATAGAACGAAAAATCCCACAAAAACATAATGACTAAAGATGTTTTTCCACATGTACATATTGCATCATATCCATGGTGCCTGCATTTCAACCTGAAGGTCACTTTTGACTTTGATAGAATTGTAATATTAGCACTTATACACAACGCAGCCAGCAACACTAATCGGAACAGAATTGCAGCAAACATCATGCCCTTGTAAGTCCTGGATAGTCCATTCTGTATCCTACTAAGAAAAATCCTAGTACCCTCCTGGAATTCAAAATGCTTAACAAACTTTAACTCATTAACACATAACTTATTGAAAAGATGATGCTGATTCATTCAGAACCAATTTCAACATATGGTACTTCTTTGTCCTCATACATGCCAGTTTTTGCAAGTAAGATGCATCATCAATGCAATTTTACCTATTATGCAAGTCTCCAAGAAAGTGAGTAGTTACTGACAACATTTATGCTTGAGAAACACATATGCAGTATGAACAAGAATGCAGTGCAATGTAAGTTGACTCGTCACTTTTTATAATACAGAGGAGATGAATAAATAATAGAAATACCGTTTTAAAAAAATTTACAACACAATACCTTCCTTGAACAGATGGAAGAACAATTAATGAGTATATAAAACAGCAATGGTTAGAAAGTCATAATTCCCATGCCTCTGGTGGCAGAGAGAAATTCCTTTTCTGTATTGAAGCTTTTGCAGTTTCAGATGTGTATGAGACCAGTACATTTATTTGTCTTTGGTAGGGAGGCACAGTGAAAATGGAAATTAAAGTTTTGCAAATATCATCAGATACCAACTATAAGAAACAGGAAAAAATAAATACCCACCTAGCTTTGCCTCAGAAGTGTCCATCTCCCATTTGCTTTTCGGAATGTAACCCTAAATCATACACAGAGAGAAGCTCGGAGGATTAGAGAGAGCAACACATGCATATCACTTTTGAACTGGAAACAGCATTACAATGGGAGCTTAAGGTATTTCTTTTTGTAAGGCACAATTCTTGTTATCAGATGGAGGAAACAAGTTACTCAGTATTTCAGAACTTCTGCATCCACTTACTTCCCTTTCAGAAAGTGACTTTAGCAGCCCTTGCACATCATTACAAGAATGCTGCTCTGCCAACACAGAACTCCATAACGAGTCTAACAGATAGCAGTGGTGCTGTGTGCAGTTACTAGGTTATAATATCCCAAGAGGCAAAGTTATAGTGACACAATTTATCAGGCATTAAGAGTAGTCAAGACTTTACAAATGCAAGTTACCTTAGTCAAATGCAAAATATACCTTAGTCAAACGTTTTTAATATATTTCCAGATTTACTACACACAAGCTTCATTTAATAGTCCTTTCAGATGAACATACTATACTCTTGTATGAGTAGTCAGTCCACAATTTTTTTTCTAGTTTAAATGAGGTAGTATCTGCTGAAACTGTGATTTAATCATTTTTTCATTTAAAAATAACCCTCATCATGGTTCAAAGATTATTTCCAAACACTTTTTTGCTACACATCATCATACATTTTACATATAATAATCTTAAGCCAGTTCATTCCCTGCAAATGAAAATAATACTAAATTTGGCAAAAAGGTATTTATTTAAGGTATTTTCTTGTAGTCTTTTCATTTTATACTCTTACACAAATAAATCCTTGCTAAACAATTATTGATAACTCTTATAAGTAGTTTTATTCCTAATCTAAGCAGCTGAAATTCTCTCTGCAATCACATAAAAAGCTCACTGTCGTGAAATGGAACCCTTGTGAGAGTTTAATTGTTTTAATGATTTTTAATATGGAGGGAAAAGAACTACTCTAGCAGATTTCAACAAGAAAACAAACAATTCACAGACCAGTTTTAATGTACTAATTCCTTTCCTGCTCTATTTATAGGTTGCCTCCACTGCAAACACCTGTGTATTCATTAATGTTGAGTTACTAAATCAATGTACCATGACAGAGAGCTACACTGCTTTTGTTTACGTTCAGCGTTCTCTTCCAAAATCTTTTACAGACCCTTTATTTTTCTATCAAGCATGTATCAGTGATTTGAGATTATCAGATTTCTCTATTTTAATGTTTTTAATCAAGTCTGTAGTTAATACAAACTAAAACAGTTTGTGCTGCAATATTTCACTGTGACAAATAAATGAATGTATATATGTATATTTGTACTTTTCAAACATATTGCACATAAAAATATGCTCAGAAAAGTTATACCACAGCTAGGAGCATGTATTGAACAAAGCAGTGTGTGATACGTTGGTGAGAACACTAAGTTAAATGTGTCAATAATTCATACCATCAAGCACAGAAAAACAAGAATTGTCTGAACGCTTCAAACAACCCTGTGAGAGTTGACAATAGCAACAGAAGAGTGACTTTGATGGTGTGAAATGCCCTAATGTGTGCTGAATCTGCATAATATCCCAGTCTTCGGATAGGATAAGAAAAGATTCAGAATTCATCCTTTGGTACAAGACAGTTGGATATTTCAAGGACATTTGCCAGATGGAGCTTGAGACTTCTCTCTTTCCCCAGGATTAAGAGAAGTACAGGAGAACAAAATGAAACAGTTTACCAACTGTTCTCAAGAAGGCGACAGATACCAAATACTTCTGTCTGACACACCTCTCTGAAATCAGCCATGTGACTGAATGGCAAAGATTACATACGGCAGATTATTCTTTGCTGTTTTTCACCTCTTGTGACTTGGAATAGAAAACATTCTTTTATGTAGTTTACTTTTAGATATTAATAATTTGCATAGTTTCCACCACCATGCTTTCTCCTTGTCTTATAAAGAAAAAGCTTATTTTTATGATGTGCTGTGCAACAGGACACTCCCCAGAGCCCATAAACACACACACACAGAGTTATGCACAGATTTCTCTCAAATGCTAAAAGACAACTTTCTATTCTAGATATAACTCATTTTCAAGAAATGAGAAGCTAGCAGCCATATTCTTGTAAACATGGATGCATTTTTAAAGAGTTCTAATCCCACTTTATGCAGTCTCATACTCTGTGCCAGAGAATAATTTAGCAGAGAATGAATCATATCGCTAAAAAGAAGACCAAAGAAAAAAGAAAAAAAACACATGCAAAGCCCCAAACCAGATGTTTATTAAAATCCACTCTTCCTAAATTTTATTTTTGTTATTGTGTATTTCATCCGTTTTCTATACTACCACTCATGAGGAAGAGTAATTTGTAATTTTCCATCAAGAGAATGGACTTTGCTCATCCCAGACATTTTTGGTTACTTCCTGTTTATTGGAATTTAACTGCTTGGTTGTGGGAACCAGGGTTTGACACATTCAACTCTTCAAGCACTGACCAGTTGTAGCTCCAACACATACCAAGAAGTTACATTCAGAGGCCTTCCGCAGCCTTTTAAAAACTTACCCAAAAAAGCCAGCCTACAGAACTAATCTCTAACCTTCATTCATCCAAGAGATCTAATCCCTTCGCTTGGAAATACCTACTGACAAAGTCAGAAAGCCTCAGCAGCGAAAATATTCTTCGTAACTGTTGTCATACACTATGACAGTTGAGACGAGTTCTTTAGACGTGTGAAAGAAAATAAGCTAAATGAATCTGTGCCCATTCTTCCCACCCCTCCACCTGGTATGATACTTAGACAAGCTGGAAGAGAGAGCTATCGTGTACCGTAATTTATAAATAAATATTTGCAAGAGGCATGTTGCCATGATACTCTGATAATGCCATTTGTGGCATACACTCTCAGATTATTTAAAAAAAATCAGATAGGAATAACATGATTTGACATTAAAGTTCTCTTAGAAATGTTTAAGGAACAAATGACTATAGATGTGTGTATTAAAATCGCACTGCTAAGAATGGCAATGGGTTGGCATTTATAAGATCGAGACTCTCCCTCAGACATATTAAAAAGCATTTTGTTAGAGATGGCTGATGTGTCTCCTACCAGTTCACTCTCTTCTTCCTCTGCTGCATCCTTCTTGGCTTCTTCTTTCTGGTCTTCAATATTTGCATCAAAATCCTCCATCTCCACCTGTTACAAAGCACAAGCACAGACTTGCAAGGCACTGCTTGACTTCAAAATCTCATCGTTTTAGTAGGTTAAGCAGAAGATTCCAAGCTCAAATAGAAGAGGAAAGATGGGATTAATTTTTGCAAGCATTATGCTGTGGTTTATATGAATACTGGCTTTACTTCTGCTTCCTTCAAAGCAGGTTCCCTTCTTGCTGTAGTGAGAAACTGTTGGGAAAGTAGCAATACTTTGTGATCCTCCTTCACATGGATTCTTTGTGCTACCAGTATTTGTAACAGTAAAATACGTCCCTTGCATCATACACAATCACGTTTCAAAACCTGAAATTTCATAAGAAGATCTAAACTTATCACTTATGCATCACTTGAATGGCACTCTCTGTATAGAATGCATCTTAGTCAAGCCTCTAGCTTAAGTATTTACTTATCACAGTGTAATGAACAAAAATGGAATCTTTAAAACACATCTAACGCTGCCAATCTAATGGAATACTTTCTGGAGCCCATATCTCTGAAATGCCTGATACTCACACATGCAGTTATGCAAACCATTAGTAAAACTTTGATGAACATATCAGAGTAAACCCCTAATATGTCCTTCTCTGGGTCTACTTGAGAGCTGAAACTTTTGCTCTCCTCTTGGAAATTACTATTTTACAATAAAAAATATCTGTAGAGTAGAAAATAACCTGCTGAGATCATGACAAGCTGCAAAGAGTAAACACCTTTCTACTTCAGCAGGTCAACAGTTTCTATGGCCACGGCACGAGCTGTTCTGACAGTAACATGCAGCTCTGGTACATTCAATACAACCATTAACATAGTAGTTTATTTCCAGAGCTCCTGAAATGTCTGTCAAAGACCGCAACAAATAGAAAGATAACATATCCAAGATATGTCATGGCAAACCATAAATGGAATAAAAGGTAGCATTCCTCTACATTAAGTGTAATCTTCCGCTATATGTGTTTTATTTACTACTTTACTGCACAGGTCTAGATTTCACACAGCAGAGATCCAGAGGAGTTATCAGCTATTTCTCAAATTGTGAACCACTAAGCTGAAAAGGTGCCAAGGTTTGCACGAGGGAGCAAAAATAGTCTTTAATTGCTACTAAGCAGTTGCTAAAGTGGCTTCAACTCTTCCTCAAAGATGCGCAAGTTGGGACTCCAAAAATGCCTTAAAATATAGCTTGTGCCTTTGTATTTAGGTCGTTGATAAGAATAATGGAATACACTTAACTGACAGCAATTACATCTTTCTATAGTGCCAATTATATGGCAGTCCTGTTTGTCATCATACCTCATCATACCTTCCTTTATTTTTTCCATTATAGCTACATCTCCATAATTCATCATTTTAACATGCAGAGATACTCTTACCTCTTCGATAGCAGCATCTTGCAATAGGGAACGAATGTCCAGGCGCATCATGTGACGTGGCGCTGCCTCCCAGTGATCAGACATCTAAAAAAAATGCACCAGAAAAACCCAAAACATAAAAATGAAGCACCTCCAAAAAACATAAGAGACTGAACAGAAAATTGGGCTTCTTATCACAAGAAAAGATCTATCTGCACTTAAGTCATTTCAGTCAATCCTGTGAAATAACTACCAGCTCTTCTTAGAAGAAAATTGTAGGGGTTATGTAGACTAAAATAAGCCAAGTTTTCCAACAACAGCAGGAGTGAAAACAAAAGGAAACTTGCAATTAATCCTATGACTCCATATGTATACAGTTACCCTGCTGATTTCCTTTAGCTTGCGTCCATGAATATTCCTCTTGGAACACGTCTGGTTATCTGCACTCATTTCAGCTAAGTACACCTAGAAAGAAGAAGACAATATTAAATGTTTTAAATCAGTTTTTAGAGTTTTTCTATCTGGTCATAACTCCACAGCTGTACATTCTAAGAAAGGTAAACTTGCAGCTCTAGACCATAGCACTCTTCCTTCAGTTGGGAAGGACTTTGCATTCAGAAGTTCAGAAATGCTGGTATACAGGTGCTAGGAAATTCAAATGCCTTTTAGGTATTTACCTCAAAACCCTTGGTTTTTGCTGCACTCCAAAACTGCTCAAAATGTCGCACTCTATCATTGATAGCATCAAGGATAATGAAGGGAAAGAATCCATCATCCAAAGTCTTTTTGAAAGTTTTAAACATGCTGGTGCGATAGGTCTCTTCCATATCAGCTTCATATTCATATTCCATCACCTGAGTCAACAAAAACAATTTAAGAGGACACCTATTAAGCTGTTAACGTTCAACTGCTGAATGTCCTGACCACAAAGTACATTGGCATGAGAAAACCATCTTCCAAAATCGACTTTCAAATATTTGCCCGTTCCACCCCTACGTTAGATTGATTTGTTTTTGAAAAACAGTCCCCACACCTGTGCAAAGCAACAGACTGAAATTCCACAGTATCTTGCTTCTTTGTCAAAACAAGAAACTGAATTAGGAGTACCTTCTTTTTTACTTTTTTCCCTGTATCTGGGTCTCTCTCTTCCTTTTCTACTTCAGTGATAAAATAGTCATCCAGGCTGAGCACTCTTGGTGCAGGTCCTCCACACTCTACTTCCTTATCCTGGGAAGAAAGCAAAACAGAAATACTCTTGGGTACCTGTAAAAAAATCCATTCTGTTACAGAAGACCTTAAATATGGTTTTGGCAAATGTCAGTTCCCTTCTCTATATTCAAAGCAAGAAGAAAGCAGTATTCCTTATGGTTACTAAGAGTGGACAGGATTCACATGCCACATGAGGACACAAAACATTAAATAACAACAGACTGAAATTCCAGGTCTTGATCTCATCTCTTCCAGGTCTTCCTGCTTTTTCCAGTATGTCTGACTTAATTTTTATCTTGGAATACTGTACAAACAGAAATAAAACAGTAGAACGTATACAAAAGAGACAAGCAGCACTACACAGTGAGCAGTCCTTTACGTACCCTGATGAGTTTTGCTACATGTGTCTTCCCACTGCCAGGCAAACCTCTCATTATGATTACAATCTGAAACAAAGATAATGTAAAATAAGACAGAAGGCTGTACTAAATCAAATAAATCTCTTACATAAAGAAATTCTAGAAAATTATGTGCCCTGGGCTCACAATTTTGCCAACAACAAGAAAAGCCAGTACCATGCCTCACTCCCACATTTTACAAACCAGGTTGTAATGCATGGTGGTAGTTCCATGGGAGTAGTAAGATTATGTGATGTTAATCGTCCCAGCAGCTCACACTGCACAAGATGTTATGAAACTGTTTACAATAATTGAATTAGTCTTGTCTAAATGTTTTATTGCCTGGATCTTATTCTTTCTTTTATATGGTGTACTGCCAACTCTCTGACAGGATAAAGCCAAGTCTTTCCTCTGATACATCAAAAATCCAAGTAAAGATCTCAGAAGAATCTAAAATACATGAATATTACCAACTAAGAGGAATTTCATATTAGCTTTCCTAGGAGGTTTACATCTCCTGTGGACTCCTTAGGGCTAGGCTACAACATTCTGAGTATTAGCAATAGAACCAACAGAATTTACAGTGCTTCCCAATGCATTCAGACTTCAGAGAAACTGATTGTTGCTGTTGCAATGCATACTCACTCTCTCTGGCCTGCTATCCCGCCCTGGTGGCTTCAAAATATCATCTACATTTTTAGATTCTGGCTTTCTTTCCACTCGTGGAGCAGGTGGTGGCTGACGAGGCATAGATGGAGCAGAAATTGGAATCCTTTCCTCAGGGTAATTTCTACGATCACCTTCAAATTCAGAAGAATTTTCTTAGTTCAGTGAAATTAGAAATTTTAACAGACACTCTTTACTTCAGGATAAATTCATGGATGTCTCCCCAGAACAATTCAAAGTTCTAATCTTGAAACTACTACACAATAAAAGATATTTTTAGCAGAGTATGTAATTGTCTTTTCCCGATCTCATCACTACTGAGAAACTAAGCTATAACATTATCCAAATAAATTTTCCTGAGTTCTATATTATGAAAAATTATTTCTTTGTTAAGAATATTTTAGTAGGTATTCAGGACTGAGAAACCATACCTCCAAACATGGAAGGCCCATGATCATACGCTGGACGATCTGTCTTTCGTTCATATGGTGGTCTTTCAAAACCACCCCGCCTGGAGGAGGGATGTTCTTTCTTGTCACGGTAAGACTGAGTCCTTGAAGGTGCAGTAGGAATAACCCTGCCAAAATAGTATTCTGTGTATTCGTAGAATTTTTTACTATGGATTCCAATGAGAAATTAATAGGTACCTCAGTCAAAACAGACAGCCTGACACACAATATAGCTTGAACCAGATTGATTTCAAAAATGTTCCAAAACTACACACCTATCATCTCGCGGATGACGCTCTTTTTCAAATCTCTCTCGATCATAGTCCACAGAACCACGGTCTCTGTGCAATTCCCGCTCTCTCTTGAAATCCCGGTGGTCTGTATTTGAATTACCTTGACGCTCAAAATAGGGTTCACGATCTCTTTCTCTGTTGTAACGACCAGGGTGATCTGAAAGGAGAAACCCACGGAAACCCAAACTATAAAAACATATCCTGAATTTACTATTTTTGAAGGATAAACAACAAAAGTACAGGAAAAATACATAGAAATTCATGATGCGAGGGCTAAAACAAACTCAGCCACTGAATCTCTTTCCCAAACTGTAAGAGACAACCATAACATGCAATCCTACTTAAAGCTACTGAATTGAGTCTTGAACATGGCTTGATCAATGACCGTATTACTCCTCTTGATGATATAAACTGTTATTTTTATGGGCCTTGGAAGGCAATAAAGTGGTTCTTATTTAAATTAGGAGTTACTTAGTTTAATACACACTTGTAGTGCCTTACAACCTTTCTTATAGGCTAACTAATGGCCTGTGAGCTAACCAAGGGCTCCCTACCTTTTTGAAATGTTTGTCTCTCCGGCAAAGGTTCTGGACGCAGAGTTACCCTCTCCCCATATGGAATCTGTTCCACTTTACTGGTGGTTATATCTGGTTAAAAATAATCAGAAAGCTAAGTAACGTCTTAAAATACCCCTCTTCCATTTCCTTCCCAATGTCGTGAAAAGCACTCAGTCAATGGCATTAGAAGTGACTGAAATAACTTACCAAAATATACATAAATACAGAACACCAGGGTTTTTAAAGCCTTAAGTATGTTTCTGTGTGCGTAAGTATGCATACAGTTTACCTAACAATGGGACTTTATCTCTTTGGATGAGTTCGGGTAGCTTGCACAGTTAGGTTATATACACTGATGCTATGAAAGTTTCGGTAAGTCAAGCTATGATAACGTTGAGAATATTACCTGAAATGCTCTCTTAAGAGACTCCCAACAGTCACAGTTTTTCTAACTGCTTCTAGAGAAACATCTACTTAAAGGAATTGCCGTGGCTTCAGTTACAGAGAAAAACTCTCTTTAACGGCAACGCACAATTTATGTACAACTTTACAACCCAATTTCACTTTTGCAAGAAAGAAAACCTGAGAGAAGTTGATTCAATTAAAAGGATAGCGTTGAATTTTAGCTTTGATAAACTCACTACTAAAAATCAGAGGCTCTCACTGCTTTGGTGTTAAATGCCTGTTTAGCATGCCAACTCCTCAGAACCAGGACATTGGTTCTAGAGGGCTCTAGGTATTGTTAGACGGGTACCTCATACCCATTAAGCAGCATACAAATAATGCAAACATTACCCACATTCTGCTTTAAGTCACTTCTCAGAACTGTAACAAACCAAAGTACTTTCTAACACAGTTACAGTTCCCACACTCTGTTATAAAGGGATTAAGGGAAAGTCTCACTATCAATCTACATATAACGTTGATGTGCCCATATGAGCTGGTGTTTAGTAGAAGCAGGCGTGGACGTATACCATTCAATTCACGTGACACAGCTTTTCAGCATTAGAGAAAACATTAAGCTCAAGACTGATTACTGACTCCTTAAAATTGCACTGTTTAGTATTAGGTCACGATGTACACAGCCTAAACGTCAGCTGCAAAATATATGTGGCATATGTTGTGTGCCACACTCCTTTAGGAAGCAGTTAATGGAGCTAACTATCTCTCTGTTACAGAACGGACAAATACATTCACTGCAATACCCACCTCGCCCATGGCCATAATCCACAGTTTGCTGAATTATAGGTGCTTTAGGAACGGGTGGAATAACTGGAGGAAGTGACACTGGAACAGCTGACGGAACAGAGGTGTGAGCAGCAGGTACTTTCACTGGCGAGGATACTGGTGGAGGCATCATTGACTCCTGTTTACATAATTCGTACTCCATATTTGCTCCTTTATCCTCGTTTGTGTCCCAGAGTCCGTGGAAAGAATCCTCATCCCAGCGTTCCTGTTCCACAGCAGAAGGTGATGGTTTTAAAGACTGACCATGACTTGGGGCTGTAGTTGGAGTAGGAACTGGAGCATGTGGCCTTGTCATAGGTGTAGCAGGCCTTGCCAGTGGGGCAGTTGGTCTTGTCACTGGGGTGGGCTGTCTGAACAACACGGGAGGCTTTATAATAACAGCAGGAGAAGGTTTAATAGCTTGGGCTTCTACTGGTGCCTCTGAAGATAGCTGAGAAGAGACCTAGATGCAGAAAGCACTTTAAATAGAGATCTGTAATCTAACCTTCTCTCATCCTCTGCAAGTCAGTAAGCACAATGGCAATCTGTAATTAAATTATAAGCATTTTCCAGTACCTCCATCAAGGTGCTACAGGTAGGAGGACAAAATTTCAAGAACTGGCGGCCTGAATTAATTTGGCGTTTGCTCACTATGCAAAGGCTTGAATATTATATATTTTCTCCTTCAAAATAATATTAATTAAAGCTCCAGTGGGCCTATCTCAGTTCAAAGGTGTCTACAGTTTTATTCCCAAAGATTCTTGTTGTCTGTGAGGAGGCTGAAATAGTGGGAAAGTAGGGCAGCTTGGTGAGGCACAAAAGGATTGATAAGGTCAGCTTCTTTCTGGAAGTCACTGGAAAAATTCCCAGAGGACAGTATCACCTACAAAACTCTTAATAGAATCAATGTCAGATCAATATCAGAAATGGGGAGGTGTTGCCCAGTGAAAAAATCCGGTCTTGAACCAAACGTCCCCATGGAACCCCGTACATTGTGTCAAAAAGGGCCTTTTCAGAAGCACAGCAGATGCCAAGTTAGAGGCAGCTTTACTAGCAGCATGCAAAAGGACTCAGAGAAGGGCTGTAGATACAAGCTGAGATTTGTAGCAAGTTCACAGACATGGCAGAAATCCCAAGAAAAATAACAGTTGTTTGAATACCTCTGGGCAGATGGGTGAAGTAGGAAATACCAAAGTTAGGAAGTAAAGTCACTTCCTAAAGATGGCAACATATCTGCAGCTCTTGGTAGCAAATCTGTTCCATTACTTTACTTTATAGACACTGTAAACAACGAAGAGGTCAGCTAGGCAAAAAGAAAACTTGTAGTGTATCATGCACAGCCCAACGCTTCTCTGCAGGGAGGGACAAAGAAAACTTGGTCTGGCTAAATGTCAGGCTCGCAGCTCAGTACAGCCAAATTTATTGGTACCAGTAACTTTTAGGTTACGATGTGACGAAGAATTAAGTCTGTGCATCAACTCCAACATACATTTAACATACAGTTATCAACAGTTAACAACATTCATTCTAGGAAGGATTTATAAACCTGAGTAAACACGACTGGAGAAATTCAGCTGTTTTCTCACCTGGTATGAACTATCAAAAAACAAATTTAGCATCTGAGAAGAGTTCCCAGGACAAGCCAGAAGATTGGACAGTGGAGGAGTAAACTGTATCACAACAGGAGATGAAGGCACAGATACACAAATGTGTGCTTCCACACGCTTTGTGATACTCCATCCAGTACTGAGTATTTCTAATAAAAACAGCCAACAGAAAGCTAACATCCACTTTATCTGAGTTTCTGATGGAACTATCCTCAAATTCTCTTTCAACCTCTTCAAAGAGGAGGGAGCACTTAAAGCAGGAAAAGCAAAGCAATCTGGGATTTAAAGATAATATCAGAACCAAGTTATGTGGTGAAAAGGAGGGTCTTCTCATGAGCCTTACGGCCTTATTTGATAAGAGCTCACCTCATCTTGCACATTGTCCTACAGCAGTCTAGGCTGTTAAAACCTCATGAGCAACTGTCCCCAGCAGGTTATGTTCAGAAGACACGGTGGACTGAACGAATAAGAAAGACTTTGGAAAATCTAAAGAAGTTTCTTTGCCTCAACAAAAGACTGAATAAGTTGTAAGGATTGCGAGGGAGGCATTCCACAGAGAAGTCTGACCACCAGAGTGCAGAAAAGATCTGAAACACACAGAATTACTTACTACCCACGTTACGACGTCGACTTGAGATGAATTTACCTGAAAGCCACCTCCTGGCCTTGTGCTGGTGTTCTGTGGTCTTGGAGAGTCCTGTGCGGAAATGTCGGATTTAAACTCTTTCAACTTTTGCATCTGTTCTTTTTGCTCTCTGCACATGAATCACAAGAAAATGGTATTAGTCTGTAGCTCAAATGAAAACTTGAAAAATTAAAGATTTATTACACTACCATCACTGGCCAAGTCCAAAGTAGAAAAGGACATAAGCAGGCTTTATATGGTCAACACTGATTCAGAAATCCCTGTTTCGCACCCATGGAAGTATATCTTATCAGCCTCCTTTTTTGACCACAGATTTCCTCTGTGGCCAGAACCACTCTGCTTTGATAGTAAAGAACAAAGCCATATTTTTAGGTTCCACCAAGACCTGCAAATGGGAAGCCCAGGGGAGATGCATGCCTAAATGCTTTCAGGGACTCACTCTGGGATGCACACTAACAAGACTGAGGCCAACTCAAAGCACAACAAAGATTCCAGCATTTAAACACAAAGTGGTGAGGTTAGCTTTCCTTGCTTTATGTATCTAAATGCTATTTAATACACAACCCACACACCGTCTATGGAAAAGAAACCAGGACCAGCAGGGAAAGCTGTGACCACCAGGTTACAAAATTCTATTCAGTGTGATTTTGTTTCCTTTGAGTTATTGTTAACATCTTTTTATCTTGTTTTTCTTTGATTGTAGTAACTCTGTTGATATTTAATTGCATGTACTAAAGTAGTGCCCAAAAACCAACTACGGGATCCCCTCTGTACTACTAGGCACAACATAAGCCATCCTGATTAGCAATGCATCTGTTCAGCATGCAGGGCAAGGGGAACATGGCACGCAGAAAGGGATCCCAAGTGCTGCATTAGCGCAAAGAGCATGAGCAACTGCCAGCACTTATAAGGTCTTCTTTATGCTGGGTTTAGGAAAAATAAACCAGATGATAAATATAGAACAGCATGCAGCTCTGAGCATGCTGTCATGTACATGATAAAAGCAACCTGACGTGAAGTACTGGTCTAACTAATGTTATTAATATCCTCAAATCAAACTTAAAAAGAACAGTACCAACAGTATCACATTTATATTTCCCCTTTTCAGTGAATTAGAAAGACATATAAATCTACTTCCTTACATAAAACGTTTTAGTTTCTATGCTCAAGTATCTCAGCTCTAATAAATTATTCACTTGGGCACTGATCCCCAAACTATAGCCCTTAAATTAAGTCCACTGGCTTGCAGCCATTCACATTAAACAGCCCAGCTGGCCACCTGAGGCTATGAGAAAGCCAGGAAGCTGAAAACAAGCTGTTGCTCCAAAACTTTTGGCAAATGTTGCGTTATAACACAGATTTCACAGTTACTAACACCTGTTGAATTAATCTAATTGCAGTGAAATATTAATGTATTCATAATAACACTTCTGCCTTCCCTTTTTGAAATCACTTTTCTTGCGATTTCTGCATGTAACTAAGCCCTTCCTTCCAAATGGGACAGATGCTTAGCAATAGCACAGATGCTCAGCAATCTTACGAGTTTGGAAACAATACAGCTTCAAGAAAAGCACAAAAATGTCTCTATTTTTCAACATCGTTTAATAATAATGTAACAGTGATAAGTGAACACTTATTTGAACTACTCAATATTTTAGTAAAATATCTTCCTTGTGAAATTAAATCCTTGCCTTTACTAGGTACCACGGGATCTATCTCACAAGAGCTATCTCACAATAACTCATGGAGAAGATGAACCACGTGAACCTCTGATAGATTTCTTCTTTATAATCTCCCCTTAAAGATCTCACTCCTCACTCACTGGACATAGTAAAAGAAACTTATCTTTCCAGTTCTCTCATGAATGCATGTAATGCACCAAAACTCAGGCATCAAATCACAAAGAAAACATTTGGATAGAGGGTATGTGCTCTCTTCTTGTATTACTGAATTTACTGAGCCCTATCCTACCGGATATTTCTGATGTTTAAGAGGTTATTATTCTATTGCTTCTTTTAAAATAAATGCTTATTAAAGCATTAAGGAGTCATGTCCTCCTCATTTGACATCACGGTTGTGTTGATCCTCAGAATTAAGATCAACCAAGCTTGACCAAACTACTCATCGAGGATGCTGGAGTTCAAATGAGAGAACATTGTTAAAAGGGAAAAAAAGCACCTATGCTTTAAGAATCAGTATCCAAAATTTTAATAGGTCCCACTGTGTGAATTAGGAACCACCTTAATGCGGATCTTGACATGTATTTAAAAGCAATTATCAACAAAGTCATCTGAGGATAACAGAAAGATTAAGAAGCAATTATCAACAAGCTCCTTTGAGGATAACGAAAAGGTTGGTCAGGCGATGTGGACAGATTTGTACTTGGGAAGTAACAAATGGAGATGCCCTATTCGTGGGGAAAGGGGTGAGTGTTTATTTAAGGAAAAAAGCCCATCCACAAAAGCTGGGATGGAGATCTTCCAAATAACTAGTTCCACCCGAGCTCCCATTACCATGCTGTAGTGAAAAGAAACGAAACCATTATTGTGTAAATTGAGGAAGAAATCAGGAAAGGGGTATCATCTTCACAGAAGCACCAAACTATGCTGGCAGCTTGTCTTTAAATAATCTGTTGGACAGTTGCAGGGGGATAAAAATAACAGACTTAAGGAGCATCGATATAAGACACACCATACATCAGGTTCTCATGGCACCTATCTTGCAACTCCATTAGTGAATAAGTGTCCAAAAAGGAGGTTCCAAAAGCTTGCCAAGGTCATGAATTTTACAAAATCACATCAGAACAATGTTTTCTTCCAATAAAACAGTGAACACTACTGTTAGGCTTGGAGAAGTATCTGAGTAATTGAGACAACTCCTGGAACTGGAAACAGAGTGAGAAGCCTTGTCTGACACTCTGCAAATATATAAAGTCCCCTATACAGGGACCCAGTTTTAAAAGTAGGACTTCTTATGTATGAAGTAAAATGCAAGCATACTTTTAAACATATATTTTGTTCTGAGAAAGGCATGAAGAGAGGAGGGAGTCAATAAGTTTTGTTTTGTTTCAAAAATAAGCTCTGAACTTCAGAGGCAGCCTGTTACTGATTAAGATTTTGACAATTTCATCCACATCCAAACTGCCCATATGGCTGCTTAGAGCTACAGTAGGACTGAATCGGCTATTTAATAGCCAAAACTGGAGGTGGATTCACAAACCCAAGGAAAGCTTGGGACATCAAAATTTAGCTGTTTCTATTCAAACCCAGAGTATTTAGTTTGCATTTGAAAGAATGAGGAAGATAGGTCAGAAATACAAGAGTCAGCTCATCACAACCTACTATTGCAGGACAAGTAACATTTAGCACAAAGATGTCCAAAGGGAAATTAACATCCTCCACACAACACCATACAACTAGAATGTACCAGCTCAGTTCAACACTCCAGAAAAGATGCAGTAATATCACAATGTACAAGAAAATCTAATAAGCCTACTTTAGTAATTTCTCTCCCCCCAAAAGTGACAGAATCAAGCAACTCACCGAAGCATTTTGAGCTCCTGGGCAGCTTTCAAAATTATCTCATGCTGTCTTTGGCTAAGGACCATCACTCCCCCCAAGGACTGTTCCGAGTCCAGGTTTGAATCTGCTCCCAGCATATCAGAGGAATGTGAAGGTGGGAGAAGGGATGAATCCAGCTGGTCACCCATAGGTCGCAGCCTGTCTCCATCATCTGGATACCACCGATCCGTCAGCCGTTCCCTCTCCCAGTCAGTCCTTTCAGGAAGGTAGTCCTGCTTCTCCCGCCACGTGTCGTACCTCTCGGGGTACTCTCGAATCCTCAGCTCCCCCCTGTCTCGGAGGTCTCTGTCGTAGTGATCTCTGTTCCTGTCGTCCCTCCACCTATCTTCGCGGTATCTGTCCAGAGGTGGGAGAGGTGGTAACGGTGGGAGAGGAGGGATATCTAGGTCACGATTGCCCATTTCTCTGTCATCCATGGGTCTCATGTCCCAGTCTCTGTTATCCCATTCTCTGTCCACATCTTGATCATAAATATCTGTGGATCTTCCCGTCCTATCTAGATCTCTCTCTAGTTCCCTCTCCCTCGGCCTCTTCCAGTCATCCCACCATGAATCTCGTCTGTCGTGATCAGATGATAAAGGAGGTAGTGGTGGCAGGGGAGACAACGGAGGCAATGAATGGTGAGACTGCAACCTCTCATCCCTATCATACGGATCCACAGAATCATCCTGATAATCGGAGTTGTGGTCTCCCCAGTATCGTTCTCTTTCCCAGTCATCCAACCGCTCGTGCTCCAGAGGAAGGTCATCCCTACTATCTAAAGGAAATTCCTCCTGCATCCCCTCATCCTCATGACTCCAAGAACCCCTGAGCGCATCGTCTCGATGGTACGGAGCCAATTTGTCGGGATCATCTCCTAGGTGCATTGGTTTATCCATGCTGCCAGTGTCGGACCTCCCCGCTTCCCTCTCCCGGCTATCCGGCCTCCTGACGTGTCCCCTCTCGTGGCTACCTGCCCTCCTGACGGGACCCCTCTCCCGGCTACCTGCCCTCCTGACAGGACCCCTTTCCCTACTGCCTGCCCGCCTCATGGGGACCCTCTCCCTGCTGCCTGCCCGCCTCATGGGCTCCCTCTCTCTGCTCCCTGCTCGCCTCATGGGCTCCCTCTCCCTGCTCCCTGCCCTCCTGACAGGTCCCCTCTCCCTGCTGCCCGCCCGCTGTGCCCTGTCCCTGCTGCCCGGCCGCCCTGCGAGCTCCCTGTCTCTGCTGGACATCACCCTCTCCCTGCTGTCTGACCGGCCACCCAGCGTCCTCTCCCTGCTGCCCGACCGCCCGTCCGGCATCCTCTCCCTGCTGCCCGACCGCCTGTCTGCCATCCTCTCCCTGCTGCCCGCTCTCCTGAACATCCCCCGGCCCCGGATGGATGCCTGCCGAGCCTGCCCTCTGCCCCTGTACACGTATCCCCTGCCACGGCCCTCGTCCATCCTGCCCATTCCCCGGCCGTGGCCGTCATCCATCCTGCCCATTCCCCAGCCGCCGTCCATCCTTCCCATGCCCCGGCCGCCGTCCATCCTGCCCATTCCTCGCCCGTCCATCCTGCCCATGCCCCTGCCCCGGCCCATTCCCCAGCCACGGCCATCCCCCTGCCCCCTGCCCCGGCCATCATCCATCCTGCCTTGCCCCCTTCCTCTGTTTCCTGGTCCCTTGCCTCTGTCTTCGTGCATAAATGGCCCTTTTCCTCTGCCTTCTGGCCCGGACAGGCCCTGCGTGGTGTCCGAACCAAGCAGCTGGCTCTCTGAGGAACTCAAATCCTGGTTTCCCGTTACAGGGGTCACCGCCCCTCCTGGCCTTGCAACGCCTGACTGCAAAGCTCCAGAGTTGCTAGAAAGGGATGTCGAAGTTTGGTTCTGAACAGGCGGAGTAGTCGCTTTGGAGTCTTCTACTTGCTGGTTAGGATCGTGTGAACTCCACGTCCACTTCTTAGGAGGATCTGAAATAGTTTCTTTGACTTCACCTTTGGATGGTTCCTGTTGAGTGCTTGCGAGGTCCTCACTCGGCTCCACGGAGCCTGTACTCGTCACGTCAGTAGACTGCGTTCTACTTCCAGCCTGCTGATTGCCACCCATGTCTGTAAAAGGCTCTTTGTTTTCTGCTCGTGAGTCTGTTTGGGACTGCTGCTGTCCCAAAGGAGGCCTGGGCCCCCTCCACCGTGGGCCGCCCGGTCGGGAACCGTGTGCATGTGATGTGTTTTGGGAAGTATAAAATTGTGCTGCTGGTCCCCGGGGGATAGTTCCCCATCGACTCGTGTGCTGTCCATCAGTGTTCTGGCGGTCAAAACGCGACCTGTGTCCCTCGGAGCGCTGGGAGTCAAAACGGGGCCCTCTTGGTCTTGAGCCTTCAAATTTGTCGTATCCTCTTCCTCGAGGGCCATCAAACCTGCGCATAAAATAACAGCAGTTTTATTCAAATGAACATGTCAAATAAAACTTGTCTAAAAACCAGTTTCACACTGCCTGTTTAACTGATGCATCCTAGCGTGCTGTAGGATCAGATCCGCTTGAACCAGTGCAGAAGCACCAAGACCTTCTCCACCCCAACACTGTCCTGTGAAGACCAGCCTAAGCCACCTGCAGACAATGTAACCCTAAAAAGAAAACTTGGCTTCAGTATCCCAGGATTGAAACTCACCTTGAAAAAAACTTGCAAACTGAATGGTGAGAAGTTTTGATCTTTTGTTTAAAGAAACTTTTGTTGAAAACAACAACTCTTGTTGAACTTTGGTTTTAAAACTTCGCAACACGCTTACCTAACCAAAGGCCTTATAGACAGATCTATAAACACAGATCCTCACAGAAAGTGCAGCGAGCTGTGATATTAACCAGTTCGATGCAAGACAATATGCCTAAAACACACACATTTTTATCACATCACCTTTCTTTTTCCTTTTCTTTCTTTGTCTACAAGCAAGAGTAGAGGTCAGGCAAACCGGCATAAAGAATAATTTATGCAATCATATTTAGAAAGGCTCATCTAGTCAAAAAACAGCCTTTAGGCATATGCTTAACTATTGATTTACAAGACGCACACATCAAATTCATTTTACACAAAACATCGAACTTGCTCCTGAAGTCCAATTGCTTGGATATTTGGGATTCACAGTCATCTCTCCCTGGATATGAATTCATTATTGCCTAGTTACCAGCAGCTGTTGACTTTTTGCAGAATTTAATGTTTCAGTGAGCAAATTACCAAATGAGCTCATTTACACAACCTCAAGAATTTTAATAATCCTAGTAAGACAACACTTCAGCAGAAAAAGTGGAAAGCACGGTTTCTGTTGGAACAAAACTGCCTTTTGCTTGGGGTGTATGTGGTCAAGATGAACAGAATTAAAAGAATTATCAAGTGTGGTAGCAAGGTATCTTCGATTTGAAGGACCAGCTTCTACATGTAAGGTATAGCAAGAAGAAAAGGTTGGATACTGTAAGATATCCTTCACCCCCAAAATTCTGCAAATTAGTTTAAGGGAATTCTTCAGAGTTTCTTGAGAAATGTTAATTGCTAAAAAGTGGTGGGTGGGAGTGTGTCTTTTTATACGTCTAATCGTTACCTGGCACTTTGGAATAGCACCAGGTAACACACAATATTTTAAATTTATCACAGGTTCAATTGAAAAGTTATTACAGCCCTGTTTTCTACTGCCTGTATTGAGAACAAACAGTAAACAGATTTTTGGAAAACCTTTGATAAAACCATGAAATAGTCATGCAATTACAATATAGGAATGCACAAAGGTTACAGCGTTATTTAAAAAATTCTTTTTTAAACATTTTAAAATATTTTATTGTCAGTGGGCTCAAAAATAAAGCCATTGTATGTCCTTTCTAGAAATTTCTGATTATCCATAGTCTATGGTCACAGAGCACTGAGCTCTAAACTAATGCATGTATAAAAGACACGCACTAGCAAATCACTGAAAACAGTCTGCAGAACTGCACATCCAAAAAACCCCCAGGACTAGAAATGACACTTTTTAAACCCACGGGGAGACAGAAAATTATTCAAAAGTTATAAAAATTCAAATATGATGCCTGCACTTCATGAATTACTATTCATGAATGATCACTTCGGAATCAAAAAGGGAAATGAAAATGAAGATATGAAAAATATGTAAATGTAAAAATCTAGCAGAATATGCACGGATAGAACCAAATCAACGGAACAAGGCTGCTTTTTGGTGCACGAGGCATCACATCAGTCTTTAACTAATGACCAGACAGAACAGATGTTTTTGCAACCTGATATTGTCAACCATGGAAAAACAATAACAAAAAAAACAGTCCAAAAGGAGTATCTCGGATCAAACCATATCACAGATATAAAACCACATAAAAGACACAGAACGCTGGTTTTTAAAGTAACTTGACACTGAGACAGTAGGCCATCCACCTGACAAAACGCAGACTTAAATTTGAATAAAAGTACACCTCACAAGAAGATAAAGACCAAGACCATCAGATGTTATGCAAAACAACAAGAACCCTACCATTAGACTAAGGCTCAAATCCTCTCCTTCCTCTCGTTTAAAATTCTTTGAATGCTAACTAATGCTGCACATGTAGAAAAACACTGATTTGGATGCAAGACAAACATCACCTCTCTCTTATCAGAAAGCTATTTTGAGAAGTGCAGCAAATAGGGCAATCGTCTAGTTACAGAAATCTCCCATGCTAGAAGTTAAAGTACAGGTGAAGAGCTCCGAATCTTTAATTTCTTTTTGCTGCAAATGGATTTCGGTTGCAAAAAAATAATAAATTTTGCTGTTAAAAACAAAACAAAAAAATTAAGTTTCTTGTAATTAGATATCATAGCATATTCAACTGAATATATATCTGAACACTTTCCTGAATTCCTTTCAGGAGGTCCACTTTAAGGTGCTATTGTACATAGTAGTAACTTAAAAACACTCCCTCAACACTTTTGCTTTACATATTCCTAAACTGCATTCCAAGTACTACAGATGAAACACTGGGAATTTAAATGGCTTTTTATGAAAGGTCATTCTTTCAAATGTGATTTATCATTAACCTAAAGACAGTAAAGATGTATCAAATATTTACAGCATCTTTCCTGTTTTCAGAAAACGGATATTACATTTCTGAGAATGAGAATGGAGCAGTGCGCCCAAGCATTTTACTAGAGAAGAGTATTTGACTCTAGGTAACGCTCAGGTGAACAGCATTTACCTGTTTTTGCTTTAATCAGATAAATACAGAACATGGTGTACACACATTAAGAGCAAAACTCCATCAAATGCACAATTCACATGACCTTAGAAAAATCTGAGAATAAGGCGTAATGTTTCATTTCTTAATATACCAAAAGGCTGCCAGCCTTGAAAGCATATAAATCAATAAAAATATCCTTACCTGGGACCTCTGGGGCCTTCAAAACGTGCTGATCTGGGAGGATCTGGAAGCAATCCACCTGATCTCACTGGTTTATCCTGCATGGTAGGGGTGTGTGTTGAAGACAGTGCAGAAGGGGCTTTCAGTTCCCCACATCCTTGCTCAGATGACATAGAGACATTTTGTTTATTATGGTGAACTTGAGACTTCCCGTGGTCTGAAGAGCTGAAGGATGAACTTACTTGAGAGTGGTAAGTTGAATATACAGGTGAGCTACCTATTTTTGATGCATAGGTACCAGGGGTGGGAAGCAGAGCTGGCCTTGGTGTTTCAGTAGACTGATTGCTTTGAGAACTAGATCCTGAAGGGACAGAGGAATTAGATAACTGAGATACAGAAGACAGAGGTGGAGGGACCAGTGGAGGTGTAGCTGAAGGTAAGGTTGGAGGCATAACAGGAATGCCACCTGGAGCCGTTTGAGAATATGGAACAAATGGAGGCGGAAGCGAAACGTTTGCAGGGTACTGATTCTTCAAATTTTGGAGCGAGCTCACTTTCTCCTGCAAATGGGACTGAGTGACCTTCATCTGTTCATCCCACGCTTTCCACTGTTTCTCATACTCTTGCAGCTGGTCTTTGTGAGGGTAGGTTTGAAGCTGATGCTGCCACTGCTGGTTCATTGACCGCTCCCAGTCTTTATGAAGCTGCTGGAACTGTTTTTGCTGTGTCTCATAATGTCGCAGCTGCATCTCCACTGACATTGTCTGCAAGGAGAATATGAGAATAACTTCAAAAGAGCATCTTAGCTATCTTCAAGGCCACGTATTTTAGTGTCACTTGTAACATCACAACTTCTGACTTGTGCAGAAACCTGAGGAAGAACTACAGTGAAACAAAAGCAAACACTGTGATGTCTAAAGTTAATTTACACATTGCATGACTGGAGGGCAAACATTTAGTATAGAAGACTTTTTTTTTTTTTAAAGAAGAAAGATAAAGAAAAATATAATCAAAGGCCTCCACGCTCTACTATTACTGCATGCTTACAACAGCTATGAAAGCCCAAATCAATCTTCACGCTTTCAATACATGCAGCATGTGACTATTTCTCAAGGTTTCAGTTTCTATTAATCTACACAGAGCTGCTTCAGCTGTCAGCAATGATTTTTCTCTAACCTTTTGCTAGATCATAATTTGCACAGCGCAGCTTCTATCAGCAGTTTGTCTTTCTTATGTGTACACACAGGTCCTAATACCCATGGGCTTAATCTGTTCTGAGATTTTTAGGTTTACATTTTTTTTTTTAAACAAACCCGACAGCCCAAACCACTTAAGGAATGCTTAAACCACGAAAAGCTGACTCAACTAATAAAGCAATCAGCTTCTTCTTTAAAGGCTGCAACAGGGATATAATTATCTGAATCTGTTATTAAGACACCATCACTGTACACATTTGTACTGTATGACATTGTAAAAAAAAAAAAAAAGGGAGGGGAGAACACGGCCGGCTACCAAATTACCTCACACCATCATCTGTGTAACTGACCTTTCTCCTGAAGAATTTCTCCAGCAGTAAAATGTTCAAAACTGAGTAAATTCAACACTGTGTTCAGCTTTGCTCCTGTACCACTCAGGTATGTCTGAAAATCATTTGACAAGCATACAGTCTTATATTTCTCATCCTACTAAAGCTTCATCACCACCTCTTAATTTTTTTTTTCATTCTGAAGTTGAGTGCCAGTAGGAAAAGGGGATATAGACTTCTGTGCACGCAGAAAAAGTAGCTAGACAAATAAGCCAGCCATGGCAAATTATTCTACTACTTATTTTGCAGTAAAGCATAACTGTTAGGTCACTCACAAAGTATATCAAATACCATCTCCTCAGTGTTTCACCTGTAAATGTGGAGGCTGTTGCATGATCTGTTGATACTGCTGTACTATCTGCTGCAGCTGGGCATGCTTCTGCATTATCCTCTGGTACTGAAATCCAACTCGGTGATGGGGATGCTGCTGCCATTGAGCTGCTGCTGCTTGCAACTGTTGCAATCTCAAATCTTCCTCGGGGTCATCAGGAGGATCAATGTTGAGCTAGGGAAATAGGCAAATATTATAAATAAAGGGAGACTTCCATCAGAAGAGAAGAACGCTGGGTCACTACGCAGTTTGCAAGAACTTTCTCAGCATTCCTTATTTTATCAGCCTGTATTTCAGTGTTCTGGCCACCCCTAACTGCTGGAAGTCTGATTTGTATTTCCTTTATTCTTGTACAGTCTGATCTAAAGGTTAGGCTGATGGGGATTAGGGTGTTCATACACACAGAAACTTACCTGTAGGTAAGAGATTAAAGCAGATCTGTTCAGTGCTGCTCACACCAAAGGCAGTGAGACAGCAGTGCTTTTTCATGATGAGGTAAAGGAATTCCAAATGCATCATTTTGCCACTTGCTAGGAACCTGCACACCATAAATTTAAAGCGCAGCACATCCTGTAGGGTAATCTACCACCTTACAGTAATCTGTTCAAACATCCAAGCTGTTGCCTCCATCCATTATGGAGCAACTGGCATTAAGCACTGTCTAAATATTCTGTACCAAGCTCTTGGCTTTCAGAAAAAACTATAATATGCAGGGAGAAGGGGAGACAGAACTGAAACTGACAGAGAAGAATTAAAAAATCGTGTCCAAAAGCATCTACTGAGTGCTTGATTTTGCACTTAGGTATCGCAATGTGTTTCTCACAGACAAAGATGACAACGCTGGGGAAAACGCGAGTGAGCCAAGCCTGGTGCATGTGTGGGTGACTATGTTAAGTCTGCATATGAGAGTATTTTTTTTTAATTGGTACAGCCCTAACAAATGTTCTTTTCATGTTGTTTTACGATATTTAGTTATTGTTACACAGTATGCATGAGAATATGATGGAAATATTTCCCTGTTTTGTCCCCTTCTAGCACAATATAACACAGCAGCATCTCCCTGCAAAGCCTACCTGAGTTTCAGTGGCTGTAAGAGAAGAGTCGTCTTCTTTGGAAGCTGGAGGCAGGGATTCATTCAGCGGAGGAGGTTCAGACTGCTGAGTTGAAGCACCCATTTTCCCTTCTTCAGACTTCACTCTCTGTTCAGACGTATCCTTCCCTACTCCTGGCCCTTTCATTTGCTGCTGTCCCTGAGCATGGGCTTTTGCCCTTTGCTGCAGGCTAAGCAGGTGTTGCTGGTACCAGTATTGCTGCTGTTCCTACAACAGACAGAAAGTTTCTCAGAAAAACAGCTTTCATGGGGAAAAAAAAAAACAACACGAACATTAATTCATGATAGTCGCTAGAATCATGCAGAAGAAACATAAGCTAGAAAAATGTTTAAATCTATTTTGAGAGAAAACTCACTCATCAACAGCAGGGCAATGCAGGTCAAAAAATATAATCAAAATTCAGACACCACCGTGGTGTGTACCATGCCTCACTTAATTTCCTGCTCCAAAGAGCTTACAACTAAAGAAAATAATAAAAATCAGAAAAATGACAAGTAAATCAAAGTACTACAGGCATGTAGTAGGTACCACACTTATTAAGTTTAGTGCTTTTTATTCCTAGCAAATATACGTACTGATTTTGAGACTATATTAGGTAAAATGAAGGGAAAACGGAGGACAACGAAGGCGAGCGAGGGAGAAGGAAAAAGTATGAAACATACAAAAAAGATGACAAGCGTGAATGGCAGAGTAACTGGGATGGAGAGATTGGAATAAAGGTTTGGAAAGGAAAAAGAACAATCAGAGCCAACGAACAGTGCGGATTATTTGTTATCTGGATCCTGATTAACATTCAGCAGCTGAAAGGGTAAACAGATATGGCTGCACCCGAAGAACCAGCCATCTAAGAAGCAGTTCAGCTTTCAGTTTTAAATACTTCAGGCTAGAATTAGGGGACTCCCAGAGCATGAAAATAGCTTCAAACCACTGCGAGCTGCCGCCAGCATGAAGAACCAATGACTAACGTGGCGAATCTCAATGCTTACCGGACAGTGCCTCTTAAAGAAAGCCAAGCAGGAACCAAGTAATCTCTCCAACTAGTACAAGAGGTATCAGGCATCAGATCGGACTGGCAGGATAGACTAAAAACTGCCAGGAGGCAGCTGAAGAGTGAAGGTGAAGACCTGGCACGGCCTTTTGCTATGCAAGTCCCTGCCAGAGAGCACGGCAGGTGATGAAATGTTATGGATTCAAGACACAGCTCCATAAGCTCGTAGAATAAAATTCTCCAGATTTTAAAAGCAAAGATAGTGGCCACTGCTAGGGCAGCTCCTGTATTTTAGGGCAGAATATACTTGATTTTTAAACTTTCACATCAGCTGTACCACCTTTGAGGATCTGTGACTGCTCTACATCTTTTTTCATATTCTTCTGTCCTTCCTTTCCATCCAAGCATGCGCTGCTGAGAAAAGAAATCCCTAAAGAGCCTACTCACAAACAGAAAAGAATATTTTAAGATGCCCTTGCCTTTTGGGTAAGTGTGAGAACTGCAGTCGTAGGTGTTGTCTGATGTGATTGCTCAAAACTGAACCATTCAATTTATCTTTAAGCGGGTTTAAGAGAAGCACAGGCTTCCTCCAAAAGCCTACCTCACACTCAAAACGGGAGTGATGGTTTCGACTGCTAACAGCCTAGCAAACACAAGCACGCAGATGTATTCTTTAAAAACACTTCTGTAAAACTGCAGCTTGGAGATGAGGTCAGCAAAAGGAGAGGCTATGCCTGGACTTCATGGTGATCCTGCAGTGACTTCAGCCAAGGGTCTTTTTAACAAGAACATGACTCAGAGAAGCTCTCACGGGTGGAGGACGTGCATTCACGCTGCAGCATGGAACCTCTCGAACATCTTCAACAACAGGCTGTAATGAGGGTAAATTTCAACAGCAGGGAGGAGCACACATCCCTTCCCAGTTACACAAAAGATGATTAAATTTATCCCTTTCAAACGGCACCGTAAGGGGATTTAACATGACAGGGCTGGATGCCATGCTCTAGAGGAATGAGAACGAGCACCTGTTATGACTGCCATGAAACTCTTCATCCGGAGATCCACCTCGTTTTCTCCTCATTCTAGGATTCATAGGACTAGGACTAGGATTATAGGAGTAGGATTCACAGAAAGAGCTTTAAATGACACCACCCTGCCACATACTTTTCACAGCAAGGTCAACAACACACGCACTTGCAGATGTGAGCTGAAAAGTGAGAGAAAAGTGAAACGCAGGTTTCTATTGCTCAGGCTGAAGAAAACAGAAGTATTCATGGAGGAAAAAAAGCCAAGTCCATTCTTCAAGTCCAACGACAAGCCCTATATCTAAGGAAGACAGCAGCACTGACAGAAGCCTTTTTCCATCTCTGGCTGACCAAGAAGTGCCTCTGGCATCACACAGACACCACCAAGACCAGCCCTGACCACCTAAAGCACAACCCCAAGCAACACAGATCCGCTCCGATGAGGAGTTTCAATGCAGCCAGTTCTCTGCACGTGACAAAGGCCATGAACTCGAGCTTGACAAAGGCTGGGAAATCGCAGCGATGTGTCGTGTTCTCTGCTCCCTCTCCGCTTGGCTCCGTGCGTCCTCACAGTCCCCAGCTGGCGATATCGGCCCAGCCATGTTCAGAGCCATGCCAAAATAACAGAGGAGGGGTTTTAGAGAGGCTGCTGAAAGGTGACCCGGTGAAGCTGTGGCAGCTTTACCAGAAGCATATAAATACATATTTATGGGTACAGCTGCACCCGCTCAGATTTGCTCCCTACTGTAAATAAATAGCAGCATACGGCGCACAAACATCAGATGGAGCATTAAGGAAACACCAGGAGCATTTGAACAGAACTTGTCAGGAGCTGTATCTAACTGCAGGGAAAGACAAGAAGCCAGAAACCTGCCCCAACTGTACGCTTGGGAAAAACTGCACTAAACTCTCAAGGTTGTCCCAGCAAAGAAAAGTACCTTACACTTGAAAGGGAAACAGCGGAGTACTCAGAAATGGCAAATTGCACAGCATTTCCTTTGTTAAGAGAAAAACAACAATCTGTTTTGGCTGCAGCCGCTGCTACCGTTGGATGAGAACAGAAAGAATTGCTTTCAATTACCATTAAAAAAAAAAAGAGCTTAATAGGATTTTATAAGTGATGAGTTATGGTCCCCGCTAAGCTTTTAAAATCACTAGCAAGAAAGCCTCACTGCTTTGCTTTCGCTATTCCTATTGCGTAAGGATTTGCTGCCCCAAATCCTGTCTTGTAGTACAGCCAGACAGTCAAAATTTTATCAAATTTATGACCAGCAAAGTACCATATTCCTTTTGAATTAACAGTGAATTGTGTAGGAGACTAAGAACTACTTAAGATACAAATTGTTTGTACAAACAGTCGTGAAACAGACAAGGTAAACGTTGGAGATGCTTTTCAGCAGCACTCTGCTCCGTCTGTGCGTGCAGTACAATAACACATTAATTGTGATTATTCTGGGAAGGTCAATTGCTGAGGAAGAATTAAAAAAAATCTTAGCAGTTATGAAATTTCCAGCTTCATAATGGGGGAGGAATTACTTCAGTGCTTGATCTGGAGTTTAGTAATTTAAGAATTCAGCAGCAGCCTCAATACCAAATAAACATCCCTTTCAATGTCTGATTTTCCAAGGTTTTGGCATTAAAAAAAAGAATCCCATTCCTACCACTGTAAGACATGAACCAATACTGTTCAAAACCTTCATGAAATTAAATCCGTGAATCACTTTGCTAGGCAGGGATCAGCTACATGGTACAAACTTAAAAATGGTACATTCTCAAATGCATCTATGCTCAGGTATGAAATTTGAATGGATACAAATTCAAAGGTGTCTCAATGATCGACAAATTTAAAACGTCACCAACTTCAACACGAGGCAACAGTTTTGCAGACTTAGCTCCACATTGGTATCCTAAGATCAATTTGCCAAAAATATTTTGAACTTACATAAAATCCATCAACTTGTGAAAGCACACACGTAGGCTTTGTTCTTGCAACTGGATCTCTACAAACTGACCCTAAAATCCTGCAGAAGCCTCAGCAAATCTGAACGAACTGAATACTTATAGCTGAGGACCTCAACTCGCACGCCTTTGTCCACACTCAGCCTTCAATAAGTGAATTGCTCCTAACTTCTTGCATCAGGACAGGCACATCACCTGCAGAGGAAGCGCTCCCATCTAGGATGTTAAGCACGTGTACGCTTTGTGGTCACTTTGGCCCTACTGTACCTATAAAAGTACACAGCCTCAGCCATAAGAGTATGTTTTGCCAAAAAAAGCATTTCAGAACACTTCTCTCTGTTGTGGTTTAAGCCGAAACCAGGACACTCTCACATGCCCTATGCAATCTCATACTGGAGGACCAAACGCACAGCACAAAACTGATTTCCAGAGAGTGAAAGGCAATGAGGTACCACGGCAGCTTTAAGCGTAGCTGGTAAGGGTGAACAGCCACAACTCTGTACCTGTCAGAGCAACTGAAACAGGGTCCCCAAAGGACAGCTCAACGAGGAAATTAGAGAAAACAAGGTCAGAACAGGGTGCTGCAACATGCCATAAGCAGCCCCCCTGCAGCACCCTACAGAGGATGAGATGAAGCCAGCGAAGGCTCGGTGCGTTTCACCTCCGTGCTGCGCTTTGGGAAACAATTCTCCAGAGCCCCCCGGACCCATGGGGGGAACCACATCCAGCGGGGAGCCGGGCGATGCCTTCCTCACCTGCGGGGTCATGGTGGCCGGGTCTGGCTGCGGGGCGCCGTGCTGCTCGGGGGGGGCCCCACTCTCCTGGCCGCCCCCCTGGGGACCCTCGGGCAGGGACAGCGCCGGCGGGGGGGTGAAGTGCTGCGGGGCAGCCTTGGGGGCAGATAGGGAAGGAGCTGCCTGGGAAGGGGACGCCTGCGAGGGCAGCAGGTAGGGCTGGGGGGGCGCCAGGTAGGGCGGCCCGGGGGGGGGCAGGTAGGGCTGGGCGGCGTTGGATGCTGGTGGGGGCTCCAGGTAGGAAGGGGGCGGCTCGCTGAAGGAAGGGGGAGGCTGCGAAGCTTGGGGCCGGGGCAGGTAGGGCTGGAGCGGGGGGGACTGCCCGGGGGGCGGCTGCAGGTAGGGCTCCGGCTGGGGAGGCGGCAGGTAGGGCTGCCCGGAGGGAGGGGGGTGCAGGTAGGGCTGGGGGCCGGCGTTTGGCTGCGGCGACTGCGGCGGCGACGACAGCTCCATGTCCATGGGCACCGGCGAGGAGGGCAGGGGCTCGCCCCACTCCCCGTGGCCGCCGGGCGGCTCCTGCCCGTCGCGGGGCTTGCGGCTCGGTGGCGGCGGGGCGGAGGCCGTCGGCGGAGGCTCTCGGTGGGCGAATTGCTTCTGGTAGCTGCGTACCGGCGGCACGGCCACGGGCGGCGGCTGCTGCTGGTGCTGCTGCTGGTGCTGCCAGTCCCCGAACGAGCCCGGCAGCGGCGGCGGCGGCAGCCCCGGGGGGGGCGGCCCCGGGGGCGGCGGCGGCCCCAGCAGCACCGACTGCAGCTGCTTCTGGTGCATCTGCTGCAGCTGCTGCAGCTGCGCCAGGTGCTGCTCCTGCAGGCTCAGGAACCCCGAGGTCCCCCCCGGCGGAGGGTGAGGAGGAGGAGGGTGAGGAGGAGGAGGCGGCGGCGGAGCGGCGGCGGTGCTGGGCGCGGGGCCCGGCGGCGGGTAGCTGGGCAGCGGCATCGGCGGCACGGCGGGCGGCGGCACGCTGGGGGGAGGCATGGGGAGCGGCGGAGGGGGGATGGAGGTGGGCGGCGGCGGGTAGGGCCCCGCCGCGCCGTACAAGCCCCAGGCCGGGTACATGGCGGGGCGGCGCGGCCACAGGGCCCGGCGGCGGCGGCGGCTGAGGTGGAGGTGGTGGAGGGGGAGGGAGGCCCCACGGCGCCTGCGCGGGGAGCTGGGCCGGCCTCCCGGGCAGTAGAGAGGCAGCGCCGCGCTACAGCGGCCCCCCCTGCGCCGCCTATCGGGGGGGCGGCGGGGAACGGTGAGAGGGAGGGAGGGGAGGGGAGAGCCTCGCGCTGCCTGAGGGAGGGGGGAGGAGGGAGGAGCGGCGGCCATTTTGTGTGCGCGGGGAGGGTGGGTGGGTGGGTGTGGGCAGGAGTTTGAGAGTTTGTTTCACCTCACAGGGTTGTGATGGGGATAAACTGAGTGACCACAATGGGAGAGGAGCGTTGGGTGTGGGGAATCACCTCAGGCAGCACGGCGGCGGTGCTGCCTCGCTGCCCGCTGTCCCTCCACAGCCCGGGCAGCCGTCCCGGTGTGTCAGCTCCAGTTCATAGCTGGAGAGCAGCATCCCTGCCCAGTCAGAAATCACAAACGAGAATCTCCCAGAAAAACTGCAGAGTTTGAACTTAATGATAACACACAAATCCTTGGGGAAGCCACCTCAGTTCCACACACACAACTTTCCCCTTTCCTTCTGCCCAGAGGTGGTTACTGATCATTTCCTGCCTGTGGTGCTCCTTTATATTCACAGGATCACAGAATCATTTAGGTTGGAAGAGACCTTCAAGATCACCTAGTCCAACCTATGACCTAACACTAACGTATTATTTCCCTTACAGTGAATATGGCTCCCTGATAGCATTTGCACCTCTTACCCCTGCCTCTTCCAAATACTACACGTAACACTTATATCCCCAAGCCCTTTAGCCTAGTTTCCTCACTAAGCTCTGAAAGCCTGTCATTTCAAAATAGAAAACTTCTGTGGCAAAAATCCTTTGATTTATCCTCCTGAGTTCCCTCATCATCAGTTTATTCAGAGTTCCTTCATGCAGGTGGTCTCTTCCAATCTCCTTGCCATTTGTTGTGTTTTTTGTTGTGCCATGAAGAAATCCGTTACTTCCTCTTACCAATAAACACACAACCACTTGCCGTAGCATTTTCTGAGCTACATCTGGGAGGCTGAATTTAAGTGTAGCTTCCAAATGGCCTGAGAGATGTTTCTGTCAATACTCAAATCTATTTTCGGCAGCACTAGAATTGTCTCCTCCCAGCCAAGATTATTACTGGCTTTACCCAACATTACCTTGTCCTAAAGCAACCCTGCTTTGTCCATCCCATGCTATCTTGCTCTTTTACAGTCTGTGACATTATTAGTGTATGTCATTCAGCTGTTTTTATTTTTTTTAATGGCTCACGCTCTTCCTAATTGCTGTTCTACCACATTTCGGTTATCCCTCAAATAGCCCAAGTCACATCTTGGATCAGTAGCTAAAGTTTCCTCACTTCAGTGGTGATAATGGTGTAGCAATCTTGGGCCTTCTGGTGGCCCCCAGAAAAGAATGGAAATTATTTTCTCCCTTTCTTTGCATAACTTCAAACGTTTTTGGGAGTGGATTTTTCTGCTTCCTTTCTCTGTCTTCAGAAGCTATGGAAACTGGCTATGGCAAAAGACAGGATGTGGGGGAAGCTGGAAATCCTTGAGTTATTGGGAAACATCATAGGCATCTGTTTGTTATCTTAACTTGTGTGCAGGTTTAAATCAAATGCCAGAGTTGGGTCAGGCAGGAATTTATCTTCTGGTTTGGACCAGCAGAGTTCTGCATTCGTAGGAACATCAAAGCATTCTCGTTTACCAAGCTCTTTCCTATTATGCAGATAATGATCTTTCCCACCTCTGACCTACTGCAAGTTGGATCTGAGGCTGGGATGACATGGTGCACATGGGGTAAATACTTTCCCTTCAACTAAGTGTCTGATCCGCAGGTTCCCTGAGGACTGCTGGGGTTGGACTTGATGACTGAGGTTGTCTTTTCCTGTCCTGAGTTCCTCTTCTCATCAGGCTCTTTGCATTAATACCCAAGATTTTCTGTCTTGCCGATTACACTCACTTTACAAAAATTTGCTGATGGATTTCCCTGCTGCTCATCCTCCAACCCTCAAGAAGTGTACTTCTTGAGCAGCTCCTTATGCCTCCTAGTAACAGGTTCTTCAGGTTACTAGAACAAGCAAGGCAGATTGCTGACTCTCTTATTTCTTAAAGTTTCTTGTAAATGCGCATACTTGCTTGGATTCCTACCAGCAGTTCATTCGACATACATGTATTTTCATGAAGTTTATCCAATGAGCATTCTGCTGGCAAACATTCCCCAGATTCATCATGTTGCTGTGCCTTTGACCTCCCCATCGTGAAAAAGACTTTGTCAAATACTACCATAAGCATCCATTTCTTTCTCCTCCAGTCTCAACTCAAGCAAAATTATTTGTATGGGGACAATTCTAGTTAACTCTCCTCCAATAAGTCTTTTAAAACTAGTGTTGCTCTGAAAACCAAGTAAAATAGATCTAATCCTACAACTGTTCCTCAGTCCTTGTTTGACTAAGTGTGGCCTTCAAATGTGCATGACAATACTTACTTTTAGCTTAAAGAAACATGACTTGGACCGAGAGTAGAAAATTAAGGATATTATTTTTGACCTGTACAGTTTTACACTGTCAAATTTCAGGTTGGTTGGTTGGTTGCCCTCTTCCTGGCTGGAGGTGGAGAAGATAAACTTCTACTGTGATAGCCTGGAAGGGACTGATGTGTTCTGAAAGAGTCAGCGTGCTGGTAGTTCAGGGGTAAGTGTAGCAGGTGAGCCTGCAGCAAGCAAAGAGGTAGTATGGGGATAAGTCTGATGTGTTCCCAAAGTTTCCTACAGCAGCTGTAAAGGAATGTGCTAGCACAAAGGTTATTAGCATGTAGGGACATTTCCCAAGGACAGGAAATGATTAACAGAGAAGTGTTATTTTCACTGCTGCCTAGCCTACAGGGATTTGAGTTCAGCCATTCTCTGCAGCCTGCACCAGTGTAAGGCACCACAGCATAAAAGCTCTATTAAAGTTTGGACGTTTTCTTAATTATACCAAGCATATCAATTTCAGTCTCCTGTTCACACCCCAACGCCAGTATTTTGGCCAGGAGGCACACTGCAGCATGTGGGCCTCCGGTGACTCAATTCCTCTCTCATCGCTCAGTCTTAAAACTATTCACTTCACCACAGAGGAACAGAGATCAGAAGAGCAAAATAAATTACTAAAAATAAAAAAGTAATGGGGAAGATATGAGAATGCAGAGCATGCCTCTGGGAAGACAAAAGCAATATAGCTTTGAAGTACTTTTTCCACTGCATTTCTCCATCTGGCTTAACCATCTCACTCCTGACCACTTCCTTCCCATGTTGCTGCAAATGCTGCAGGTCTCTGAGACTCACTTATCTGCAGCCATTTCTCTTATTTTTCCCCTCCTACTCTGCTCCCAGCCCACATTAACACCTTTTACTTTGACACCTTCCTGTACACACCGGTGTTCTCCTCTTCCATGACACCTATGGAAAGGAATGACACTTTGAAGTGCATAGGTGCCAAGCAATCAAGAGGGAGAGGTACATCCAAACCCAACAACCCTCATCATCACTCTGCCCGTAAGCAAAAAAGCTGGGCTGCTGGCTGATCCAGTAAAAATATGCTGCAAGATGATGCCATTATACCTTAAGTACAAACTCCACTGGTAAGAAGATTAAGAATGCACTAAGTACCTAAGTGAGGGTTAGATGAACAAGGATACATTGAGTTTAGGAAACATGGAGCAGGACACAACTTGATTCCACTCAATGTATTGAGATACAGTTGAATAAAAGACCATCAACCCAAAATTAAAAAAAAATCAGAGCACTGGTCCAGAAAAGGCAGCCTACTGGTGTAGACTTGACGGCTTTTCTTCAGCATGCAGCCTCCAATTTGCTTGTGGGACAGATGTGAGGGAGTATTACAAGGAAATACTCATGCTGCTGCAGATGCAGAAATATGAAACTTCCAATACCTCTGTGGTTCCATTCTCAGTCATAGTTGGACCATCACTTATATTTATTTAAGAATGCCAAAATCACCTTTTTAAATAATCCCAACACGAAAATGAAGAGGGAGTTAGGCATATTCTTGTCCATAGAGTCCTCTTGTTCCCATATCCTCCTCCCAGCTATAGGTTATCAGGTGCAGTCAGAACAAGGATGAATAAAAAAAGAATCCTACAAATAGCTTTTTCTTAGAGGGTCAAGGCTATGAAGTCAGTCCAGTATCACCCACAATCCTGTCAGCAGGGTCCCAGCAAAAAAGAAAGCAGGAGGGTTGGGAACAGAAGGACCCTTATCCTGGCTCAGAGTCCTGGTGTTCATGGCTTGGCTGGAGAGGTTAGAATCGAGGAGCTCCGTAATCATCTGGCATCCTCTCAATATTGTATCTGCAAAAGAAAGAGGGAAAATGTATGAAGACAACCTGCTCCATATTGTTCCCCTCCCTGTGCAGCAAGATGCTTACAGGGAGACTGAACAGCAAACAGCTTTGTTCCATTTCTATCTGCAGCTCAGATCGTAAAGAGGGAAAAAGCATTACTTACGAGAAAAATGTAAAGATTTCATAAGATTACCCTCAGCCTTAACCTCAAACCCTTTAGAGCTCAGCTATCTCAAGAAGTTACTATCCCCAGAGAAGGAAAAAAAGAGTGTTTTTTGTAAGATCTGCCTTAGGCTTTAAGAATAAACCCACTGTGCAGAACAGAACTTTGTCCATTTGACTTGGGATTCAAGGGCAAAATGAGTAGGGGCAAAGATATTTTGAGAGAAAATCTCCTAATCACATTCTAGGTACAGATCAGTTTGAACTCCATGTATTTATGCAATTTTAGCAATTTGCCTCCTCATTTCTGACATTCTGCTCTCTGTCTGCATATTACCAGACTCTCTCCACTGTTAGCACACCTGCCTCCCAGTGTCTCTCCCATCTCATTCAAAGACTGACTGTCTTCTCTCCACATCCCATTTCTTCTCCCTACCATGCTATCAAACATATCTACCCTACTTTGAAACAATTTGTCATAGTTTCTATGCAAGATAA